CCTAGTAGAGCTTTGTGCCTGATAGCACATAATGTTTCCTCTTCAAGGCCTTAAGGGGTGCAGATCCAGCTCTTCAGCTTCTTACCTTTGTTCTACCCCAGAAGTCGGTTCTCTATGTCACTTTCTGCCTCTTTTGCTGTAGAGCTCTCAAACTTCCTTTTGTGACCATTATGCCCTCTCCTGCCCTCTAGTGGACTCTGGTCCTCTCTACCCACATTGGAGATGGGATTTTCTCTTATAACTAAGTACTTCCATTTTTTCAGATCCCTCAAAATCCCTAGCTCCCATTCTAGTGATTCCTGTCTCACTCAGATTTTCTCTAACTAATAATAAAAGAAAAGAATAGTAAGCATGTTATTGGTGAAAATATATTATTTTCAACAATTACAGAGAAATAATGAATACATAATCTTTATGCTCATGATTATATGCAATTTGCTTATGAATGTGAAAGAATGACTACTGGATTTTTACCTCCCAACTTTATTTAAAGTCAAAATTATATATTGTTTGAGATAACCCTGTATTATCTTTTTATTGAGGAACAGATTAGAACTATAGGAATGTATTAGTTGCAAAATTTTAGGAAGTAAGCAGTTATTTCAAGGAGATAAAAGGATTAAGAGCATCTATCTATACTATCTGTAGATAATCATCCACAACCTTTAAATTTTGTTTAGTTTACTTTGATTATTCCTAATTTTCATGTTTGAGCTTAGAAAAGATATGACAGTCAATTACTTTGAGAGTGTTTTCTTTATTTCTTCAATTATATTCTAAAAAACCATCTACCAGTTTCCTAACAACTTAGCTCCTTGGCAAGGTTATAGGTATATATCCTTTTCATTCTAACTGAAATTTCTCATATTTTCAGACATAAAAGCAAGAGGTGGTGTTTTAGCAGCTCAACTATGAGCATTAATCAAAGATAATATATTTGAGGTCTAAGGATGGTGTACCTGTCTTTAATATCACCCAGGTCCAGAGAACTGGCCAAGGAACATTATAAGTCTTGCTAAAAGAAGGTGCTACCATGTGAAGTAGGATTGAGGGGAAATAAAGTAGAATATCTAAAAGAAGCAGGCTTAAGGAAAGAAATCATGAAAAGCATACTGGTATTACACAAGCCTTCAGTAATAAAGAAAATGGCAAGCCCTGGTTTGTGTGTGAAGAAGATGAAAGAAGTAAATGACTAGATAGTCCTAAAACAAAACAAAACAAAATAAAACAAAACAAAACAAAAACCATCATGAAACTGCTTTATTGTGAGTTCTTATTAAAAGAAACAAAATCTGAAATGTGAAGTCACTCATACTTCATGTGATATTTGAATTATGTAAAGAAAATAATTGACCTGGCATAGCTACTGCTCTCTGGCTTGAATTCAGCATGAGCTTCAGACTTTTGGCTAATACTACATATTATGTCAACATACATGTATGAAATAGGTTTTAATCATAGCATTATAGTAAAAATTGAGTGTGTAATAGTATACATGTGTATAAATTAAATATACAATAAATATTAAGTATTTTATTTACTTTGGATATTAAAAAATTATCAACCTATTAAATTGCAAAAGCAAATATGTATATTTATTTGTTCCTTTAGCCAACCCTTTAATTTAGTCATCAAAAATCTATCATGTGATATCATCTGAGTCATATTTCAATAGTTAAGAAATCTATAAAATATTTCTCAAATACAGCCAGTTTCAATGTAGGAAAATAGCTAACACTGTAGACATCAATAATAATTTCAAAAGATTTCTCAATTTGTCAAAGGTTCAGATTAGGAAAATTAGCATTAAGAAGTTTTATGGAGCGAGAGGAATAATGTTGGATGTTGATAGGGGATGATAAAGTATTATCAAACACTTTTTAGCCTCAGAGAAACTGAATAATTCTAAGTGAAGGTTAAGAAAACCTATAACCTTTTTATTTTTAAGTCTCTGAAGAACCATGGAAGTAAACAAGGTATTAATTATCATATACCAATCTTTTATATTCCTTCCAGTACATGCTAGAATCATTTAAATGCTAAAATATTGGTATGATTCTTCTGATACATAGTCTCCATCAGCCCCTCAACTTGTGTCTGACAATCATAGTTTAGTGAAATTAATTCAATTCTCTGACATCTCAATTCTTGGTAGAAAACTGTAGTCATAAAATTATAATAAATTTATGTAAACATTAATGAAACAATCCCACTAAAAAAAAAAACAGAATATGTGTAGCTCATTGTTTAATAGAGATGTCTATGGCTTAGTTCATTTTAAAACTGTGGCGATGACTTGCAATGTTAAATTATAACTTTAATTACAGGTAAAATAAAATAAGGATTTAAATCCAAATTAATACATTTTCAATAAGATACAGTTCTAACTTGTTTTAATCTCAAAATTATTTACCCATATTTAAGTAGAATTTAACTTAAGCAAAATGTCTTCCACTATAAATGTCTTTATGTAACTTCCTTGTTTACTATTAGGTCCTCATACAGGCTCATGATCATAAATGGCAGGAGGCTATCAAAGACCACTTTCCATAGTCATCACATGAGATGAAGGAATTCAGGATGCAAGCCCTTATCACAATCTACATTTTGTGTAGTAGGATGTATTCAATTTCTAGGATCAAACTTAATAAGGATATCTATTTTATACATTGATTTTTTGCGCAATTTACTTTCAGTTACAGACATTTTTTTTTCTGAAATATATCGATAAACTAAAATAAAAGGGGGGGAATAAAAAGTCCAAGAGAAGAATTTTTGGAAGAATAAAGAATTATTAATATGGTACTATTATCTTTTGCCTGCTTGTTTTCTGAAGAGGTTGAAAATGTCCTTTTTCTTTCTCATTTTATTGACAATAAAACTGTTAAAATGAGTAAAAAGGAACTCTGATAAAAGTCTGAAGAGCTGTTTCTAAATCTTAGCTATGGTAAGCCAGAGAAAGATAAATATCACATGATCTCGCTCATTTGTGGAATATAATGAACAACATAAACTGATGAACAAAAATAGATCCAGAGACAGAGAAGTATTGATCAGACCATCAAACCTGAGAGGGAAGGTAGGGAAGGATGGGGATTAGGGGGAGAGATCAACAAAAGGACCTGTGTGCATGCATATAAGCCTAACCAATGGACACAGACAACAGGGGGGTGAGGGCATGAGTGGGGGTTTGGAGGGGTGGGTAATGGGGGGATAAGGACACATATGTAATACCTTAATCAATAAAGAAAAAAAAAGTCTGAAGAGCTAAATCAGATAGAGAACCATGCTAATAAAAAATTAAAGACGCTGCAACAATGTCACATGGAAATGAGGCATTGTGACTTTTTGTATTTCATTAACAATGCTTTATAGAAATAGATGTCTTTAAGTACTGATTGAGAAATTTTCTTTTTTTTAAATCTGAAATGTGTTATACCCTAAAGGCAAAAGAACAAAGGAAAAAAAAATTTATACTTTTGTATGAAATCAGTACATTTAAATATAAATATGAACTTTAAATATTATTCAAATCAACTGCATCGAATAAAAAATTGATCCTCAAAATGTAAATAATTAATGGAAAGTAAAGTGAAATGGCATTTTAATACATAATCAACATAAAAATGATTAATGTGATATTTACATGCTTCCTTTTTTATCTTCAAAACCTAGTATGCATTTTACACCTATAACACTCTCCATTCAGACTAGCTGTAATTTCCAATGCTGAATACCCACGTGTTGCTAGTGGCAACCTATTGGGCAGTATAGGTCTAGAAGATGTCATTACTCTTACATTATTACTGGAATTTAGAGAATATCTCATTAATACCCAGCAGAATAAATAAATGTCCACATAAATATATGTCCAATATGGCATTAATTTCTTATTGAGTCTAATTTTCTTTTATTATAGGCCTTTCCTTCTTTTATTTCTACTAAATATCAATCATAATCTTTCTTACATAAAAGAGTTCCTTAACAGAGCCTTCTTATTAGTCAAATATTAGATTTAATAGTGTTATGGACTACATGTTTATTGGTAATTTCCAAAAAAAGTCATATGTAGTAAATATATTGAACTCAATCTTCCATTATCATTGTGAAAGTTCTCAACTGTTGCTGCACTTATATTTCACTATTGTGTATTAGCATGGTATTTATGTATTTTAAAAAGTATATTCTCTATTAATATGTAAACTTTATTATCTGTATATTCCAATGACAAATATGTGTCTTTGTTAGAGTGTAAGCTTTTGTTCATTTCAGAACTACACCAGCTCATTTAATAATTCCAGATCATAAATATCACTCCAAGGAATTTCTGATGAAATCTAGTACAGGACTCAGTGGTAGAACTCAAATCAACACTGCTTTTAAAAATTCTACATTTCATTGAAAAAGTAATTATCTATGTCTAAGTCACATATCCAAGTCAAATGAGAGAGGCCTATTTTAAACCCACCAGGCACCCAGCAATTTGAATAATAATTATGCTTTTTAAATGTAGAAGCTCATGTTTTAGGAAGAAAATGCTATAATGACCTATTTAAGACTGAATATAGTGTCAAGAGCAATTCAAATGAATGAAGCTATAGACAAAAACTTGCCCAAGTGTTATAGAAGCATAAATTAGTTTTAGAAAGCAGATGGAAAATACTTGCAAACAGTGGCTTGTTTTTCTAGTTATAAAAATAAGTATATTTTAATAATTTGGGATTTGGTTGCTTTTCTTATTTATGAAAAAATAGCACTGCTACTTTGATTTATACAAAATAATTTAAAAACAAAAAAGCCCATTGAAATGTAATTAAATCATTGTGGTAGATAGTCTTCAGTACTGGTCAGATTATAGAAACCATCATTTAAAAAAAAATCACAATTACACCACTTACCCAACTTTTTGCTTCTATCTTTACTCTCCTGGTAAAACTGTTAGGTGTTTAAAGGGAGAGAGAACAAGACATGTAAAGCTGCAGCAAAAGGTACAAGGATACAGTCCCTTCCTGGAAAGAGGATTTTGTGGCGAACCATTTCTCCCATAATGCATCCCACAGACCATATATCCACTGGAACAGGAGAGAGGGAAGTGAAGAAAAGGGAGGAAAGGAAAGTTAACTAAGATAATTGATCTCTGAAGGAGAAGGAAAAAGAACAGTTAATTAGAAGGTACAATTTTTGTTTCCCGCCAAAAGTTGACCAAAAAGGTGAATTAAAATCAGCACTATAATATTACATAATCAATGTCTAATGTCTAGTTTGAGAGCTCAATTTAATTTTTAAAAATTACTTTATGGGTGCCTTAGACTTTAGTGCTAGGAAATGGTGATATGGAAAAGCAGCAACTAACCAAGAATATCTTCATTAACACAGACAGTGGCTGTTTCCATTGTCTATCCTATTCAGTTACATGGAATACATTTTTTTTTTGTACATGCAACCCAATCCAAGAAACTAGGAAATAGCCAGAACCATAGTTTTAAGGCAGAAGTATTCGAATCCCTGGTTTTAGGACTTAGTTTTCCCTTCATAAATAATTCTTATAAATAAATATCTACTTGAATTTTTTCTAAAAACATAACATTAATTAGCACATGTTTCATAGAATCATCTGAAATTAAAGTGAAAAGGAATATTAAAGGTATTTTTAAAATTGTTATATTCATATATTTATCATACTTGTTAACCAAACATGCTTCACCTTCTCTTCCCAGTCTTTCTCCTCTTCTAATTAGCTTTTTAGTAAGGACAAGGGGAACTTGGAGGCAAAAATATTAGGCTGGGGAAGAAAGGCAGGGTTAAGTGCACGGGTTAGCTGGACATGCCTTATGTAGCAAGCAGGTTTTTCTGCATGATAACATTCCTCCTACATGTAAGTGGAAGAATAGCACAGGAGCGAGGTGTAGTTTCTCCACAGATCTAGAGATGCCAAAAAACTAAGGCAGTAACTTGCACCCCTTCTAGTGAGGAAAGGAGAAGGGATGAGATTATGCACCATCTGTACAGCGAAGCTCTGACAACCCATAATAGGCACATTCAGACCTCCCCCAGCCTCTGTGGATCCTTGATTTCTTGATTTTATAAATTGGTTTACCTTTGATTTAAAAAAAAAACTTGGGAAGAATGTATATAAATATGTACTTTTCCAAGTAATTTAGACTAGATTTGCCTGTTCCAAGTCAAAAGGTAACAGACTTTTTCCATTGACCATCAAAGTGAACCTGACTTTCCTGAGGGCTGACTTTTTCTCTTCTATACAAATGCACAAAAAGTATTGGCTTTCTTCTAATCTGGAAGTACACAAAATTTTTTTAAAACTTTGATGGACCAAAATTTTCATAAAAGTACCTAACTTATAGTACCTGCACATAAAAATACAACAGTAATCATATTTATAGAACTTAATAAAATGGACGGCTAGGACTAAATGGAATAGAATATAAAATAAATATGAAAGGTACTGGGTACATATAAAAATTGTAATTTAAAACTATTTTAATTCTTAAATATATTAGATATGTTATTTTTAATATGCTATGTTATTTGTTAGAAACTCTTCGAAATAATATATTGCAATACTTTCTGATAGGTACTTATAAATCTTTGATTTTAATCAATAAAACCATATTGGCATACATTTGGAAGATTTTACCTTTTCTTTTAAAGTGGTCATGACTACAAGTTTCCTTTAGGAAAGCAGTAGTATAAAATATTTTTCTCTCTACGGTTTTTGGAATTTATAAAAAAAAAAAAAAAAGCCTGATACCCTAAATACTACATACATATCAGTTTAAAACAATAAAGAAACTCTTTTCCAACGTGAACAATCTGGAATAGTTTTAGTCAAGTGTTCATTGTGCATCTGTAAAGGTTCTCACTCCAAAGATGAGTGGTGCATTTTTGATTGTCTTTCCCTAGGGCTAAAGCCATCTCTCTGATATACGACATAAAGCCAAATAGTTAAATGTAATAGATTCATTCCTATTTTCTCATTCACTTTGAGCTGATCTGCAACTCAAATAGCATTTTTTTCCTCAATACCTCAAGCATATGTGCTCAATAGCATCCATTTCACTATTTAGTTGGACAAAGAAGGAAAGGCATGTAAGAAAAGGGAGCAGCTATAACATTTTAGTGGTGTTCTAGCAAAGCTCACTTCTTGGAGGCATCTTTCACATTTTTAATGAGTGAGTTTCCCTAGTAGTATGTTTTAAAACAAACAAACAAAAAACAAAACCAAAACAAAATTCTGACTACGAAAGCTGGCAGCCCTATTAAAAACAATATTTATATACATGAGAGAGAACCTTGTCCTTGGCTATCTGAAACATGTACTCATTTCCTTCACAGTCTCCGTGGCGGTGAGTGAGAAGCATCCCTACCGTTCTCCTTGTAGCCCATTCCCAGGATGACTTCGGGGGCTCTGTAATACCGCGTCACCACATAAGGAGTCATCATGAAGCTCGTGCCTGCGGTCCTGGCCAGTCCGAAGTCGAGGATTTTCAATGTACAATCAGACTTGACTACAATGTTACTTGGTTTTAAATCCTGACAATAGGAACAAGAGAGGGAATGAAAAGCCAGCATCACATGGGACCTGTGATTTTCATTTACTTAGTCAAAATGGTAGCCCTGCAGTAGCACTGGTGCCCCCCTCTCCTTACTGCAGAGCCCTACATAATGCAAATGATTGTTGTCCCAAAGGAGTTTACAGTGAGTTTTCAGAGTTTTTGCAATAACCTCAGAAACCTTGTTAAACCCAGAAGAAAATTGTACTATCGTCTTTACAGTTGAGGCTCATATTGAAAAACATTTTTAGAGGGGATGGGGGAGGGTATTGTCATCTGTTAGCTTTCTCTTTATGGCCACATAAACATCTCAGCTTATATTTCATGATGGCCTGACAGGAGAGCAGATCATGGCAGCTGTCTATTCTGTCAGAAACAAACTGAATGAATGAGCTGTCTTATTTCAACTTCACATATTGACCTCTGCCAATCATGGACTAGAAGACACGAGGTTTCTCAGACGCTGACTCTCAATGAGCTGAAACATAATGTTTAACAACATCAACTACAGAACAGCTAAAGTTTCCTTCTCCACAATAGTGAATTATGTGTTAATTCTAACATTAAAGAAATGAGGAAGGACAGTGTATTTGAGCAAGGACAGACTATTAAGTCCCACAGATAAAGAAAATAATCTACAGTTAGTTTCTCTTCTCTAAAACACCTTATATTTCTGTTAGTAGGTGCTCTTACCCTGTGAATAATTCCAGCAGAGTGAAGGTGCTTGATGCCACACAACATTTGGTATAGAAGGTAAGACATTCGTTCATGGTCTAATTCCATCTGTATCACCTGACACAAGTTGGCATCCATCAGTTCCATTACTAAGTAACTGGAAGGCAAACCCACAGTTTAGTTCCAAATAATCTGTTTAATCCTTCAAAAACATCAGAAGCCTCTTCTAAATCTGGAAGTCTTTCTAACTCCCAAGCTCCACATTTGACTGGATCAAGAATATGAAAAATTTCTAAGTCTTGCACGCATGTAACTCATGCTAACTCTACCACACATCGCTAATAGAAGAAGCATTTATTAGTGTGTGGTTCCTACCCATATATTTCCTACTTTTGTCTTGTTCTGACTTTTCCCTGAATTTCCTGAAACTCTTTCCCAAGTATCCTAATATATAAAAATCCTAATATATAAAAATGTCAGCAATGACCAGAAGGCTGAACCAACTGGACTACTATGGCTGCAGGCACAGTGACCCTTAAGGGGCCTGACTCTTAAGGGGCCTGAGAATCAGGCCCAGAGAGAGACCTAAAGAGAGAAGCAGGGTCTGATCGGTAGCCTCTGTGGCAACTCTTGATCAGCACTTGCCTCTCTCTTTAGCTCCAGGGTTGGTCAGCAGCTGTGTCTTCATTTCTCTCCAGGCCTCCAGCTAGGCTGCTGATCAGCCCTGCCTTTCTGATCAGACCCAGAGATGCTGACTGGCATAGAAACCGACCAATCAGAACCAAATCTGAGTGAAGTGTGAGGAACCAATGGCTGCCCAGGAGGCCGAGCTTTTGACTTACTGGCATAGGAACTGACAAGTCAGAACCAAATCTGGGTCAACTGTGAGGACCCAATGGCTGCCTAGGAGGTGGAGTTTTTGACGCTGACTGCATAGAAACTGACCAATCAGAACCAAATTGGCTGACAGAGGAAGGCAGTTGGGGGGCGAGATCAGGCCTGCAGGGGAGGGCAGTTGGGAGTGAAATTAGGCCAGCAGGGGAGAGCAGTTAGGGGTTATCAGGCAGTCAGAGGCAGTTAGGGATGATCAGGCCTGCAGGGGAGGGCAGTTGGGAGTGAGATTAGGCCAGCAGGGGAGAGTAGTTAGGGGTTATCAGGCAGTCAGAGGCAGTTAGGGATGATCAGGCCTGTAGGGGAGGGCAGTTGGGAGTGAGATTAGGCCAGCAGGGGAGAGCAGTTAGGGGTTATCAGGCAGTCAGAGGCAGTTAGGGATGATCAGGCCAGCAGGGGAGGGCAGTTGGGAGTGATCGAGCCAGCAGAGGAGCAATTAGGTGTTAATAGAGCTGGCAGGGGAATAGTTAGGAGCCAGCAGCCACAGGGATCAAGCCTAAACTGGCAGTCAGACATCCCCCAAGGGGTCCCAGATTGGAGAGGTTGCAGGCTGGGCTGAGGGACACACATACGCCCCAGTGCACAAGGCCTCTAGTTATGATTATAAATAAGAAAAAAAAATTCAAAATAGTATCTTTTGCTAAATGCAATGCATCTATATTACACAAGATAAGGTGCTATGATTCACTTTCTCTCCTCTGCTTGTCATCACTATACTTCTAGGTAGATTCTTTTTACACAAAATCAAAGACACCATAAAAATAAATATTACAGATAATTATTATCAGATCTCTCTTTAGTGATATTTCTCAAAGGAAATTAATTCATTCTAAAGAACTCACAGAATCAACAATAACAAAAAACACATAATTGATCATAAAACTTCTCCAACTGAAACAAGAACATGGAATAACAAAGCACAGCAAACCAGAAGTAACACCAGAAACAGAAACTCTGTCCTGTCACTAGAGATCCCTTTCATTTGCTGCCAGCTTTCATGTTCCTTTGATCTCTACAAGGGAGTTCATCTATTTTATTTTTGTCAATTTCCCTTGAGTTATTAGAGTGCTATGCTCTTCCTTCCTTCATGAGTTTTGTTACTTACACATCTTGGAACTCCTCCAGCGTTTTCTGGGGTGTGAAGACATTTAGTAAACTAATAATCTGGAAAAGAGACAGTGGAAAGGACAGAGGAAAGAGTGAAAGAGAAAAGGGAGAGAATGAGTTATTTTAAAAGCATATTTAGGCTAGCATTTTTTCCAACTCAAAGTCACACTCTAGTGCTATGGTAGAAACAAAAAAGTTGGAAAAAATCCTAGAACTGTCTCACAGAACATGGAAAAATGTACTCAGAAAGGACATATGGTTTGTCTTCAGGTTAAAATACAATTAAAAAGCTGAAATTCTTAGGCAAAAGAAAGAGTCAGAGAAGATATGTAATTGTGATACTGCATTAGAGTATGGTTATACTTGGTAGAATACAAGATCATTAAACAAAGAAGGAAAAGCATGTAAGAAAAGGGAGCAGCAGCGAAACACCCAACAAGACTTTGCCAGGCCAGGTTTTTCCTCTAAGTGAGCTGGGTGGTGTTCCAATTCAAGGTGAACCTCTTATTCAAGGTGAGCCTCTCCTTCAAGGTGAACCTCTAGTTCAAGATTTTTTTTTTATTGTTAATTTAGTTTCTTTTGCTTCTATTTCACACTCAAATATTATTTAAACTAATGTTCAAATAGCATGTGTGGGAAAAGGTATATTGGGATGATACCAATAATAAATTTAGTAGAAAATGGGAAAAAGGTGTCAAAAGTTTGTTTGCTAGTATTAAACTTATTGTTTCCTGCTTTGTGCTATATATTTGATAGTAAAGAACTTTACCTTCTAGTATATGTAAGTAATTTTTTAAAAAAAAATCTCCTTTGACATATTTCCAAATAGATTGTACACACAGATAACTGAAAATGTTCTTTCTGCTAACTATGCTATTCTGCATTAGTGTGACAACAGGAAATAAAAATAAAAAATATAATAACTATCTTCTACTCACAGTATAGATGCAAGCATTTCACAAAAATTTTATAAGTACAAGTTTAAGATTTATACAACTTTAAAACATGAATTAATAAACTTACTAACTGGTACAGAAACATATGAAGTAATAAAAATAAAACAAAATTATTTTAATCATTTAAGAAAAGCAATCAATTCTAAGGAATGCTTTTAGGCCTTAAGTAGTTTTCATTTGTTGAGGAATTATTAAGAAAAAATATTACAATATCATCAATTATTTTCATATATATGTCAATGATTATAACATACCAAAAGCCCAAGATCATCTCTACTAAAGCAACCTTATATAATAGTATGGAATATTCATAAAGAAATAAATTCATTTCAAACTATCATTAAAGCTTGTTAGTAAAGTACCTTGTCATTCTATATACTTAGTTATAATCTGGGTTGAAAAATGTCAATGTAGTACATCTCTCATTGGAACATATTTATAGTGGGTCTGGTTTTCTAGTATTTTATCAGTGTTGGAATGTAATCACTTTGACATTTTCAAATAAAAACACCAGGAACATATAAATACAACACAATACACAAAAATAACCCATATCAAGATTTATTATTTTGAAAGGTAAATTTCACACCACTATCTAGTCTTATTTTCCCTTTCCCTATGCCTTTTTAAAAAAAAAATCATTTTCAACTTCTTTGATTTCCTTTTGAGGATTGCTCCTCTTTCTTTTTTGCTCCTTTTTGAATTCTAATTCCTACTAATAAGCACTTAAAATCTTGCCTTTAGAAACAGATTATCACAGGTATTTCCAATTAGTTGAACAATGCCCAGGCAGGGGACTGATTCAGCACCTATACTCCAGTATCTTAAAGTGCACAGCTATGAATCAGAGTTTATCAGGGCCTCACAGTCACACTGGCTACCAATTCCTAGAATTAAGTATTTGTCTTCTAAATGAATCCTCTTTTCTGTTATTAAATGTTTACTTATAATTACTTCATTGTTTCACTTCACTTTCCACAGCATTAACAGAGTTCTGCATTCTGACTGCTTTTACTTAATATTACAAGTACTGAAGTGAAATTTACACTTGGTTGTAAGTGAACTTTCTCTCTGTTGACAAGTTCCAGAATTTATTTCCATGAACTTTTATACATGCATGCATGGCTGCATATATACATACACACACAAAAGTTGGTAGCAGCTAGGATGACATTTACGAATTATCATTTCAATTTGGAACTTTTTTTTAGTAATAAATGTGAACCTCCTATTTCACAAAATGTGAAATTCCCCATTAAGAATGGGGAGTATGATTCCCAAGTAAGTGGAAATTTCTTTGTAATGCATTTATTATATATACGGGCAGGAAGGAGGACGAGAAAAATATAAACATATGAAAACACAAACTGTCAAACTTTTCTACACAGTTGCTTCATTACTAGTATCCATCCATCTCCCATTACCTATAATATTTCTCGTGCTCTTTTCTAATATAAAAATAGATTGCATAGGTCATGTGGTTTTCTTGCTCTTATTTTTATTTAACATACTGAAAGAACAAATTGCTTTAGTGGAATTACTTTTCTTGGGAATTATCTTTTCCATCATTTCTATGTTCCTTTCTAGAAGTACCATACTCCGTGCATAGCAAAATTAAAGATGGGTACATACTTCATAATAATCCCTTTTCTCAGAGAGGCTTTTCTTGCTTTGCCTATTTAAAAGAGTAACCCTACTCCACCCCACATCCACCAGAATTTTTATCTTCTTTTTTTGCTTTGTTTTACTTAATAGTACTAATTATCATTTGCCATTCCATACTTTACCTATTATTTAGGTAGACTGCTTTCTGCCATTAGAACATGAGCTCCACATGGGCAGGACTCCATCTCTGCTATCTCCACTGCTCTATTCCTAGTACTCAGAATATTTTGATCTGTATCTGGCACATTGTATTCATTCAACAAATATTTGCCAAGTGACTAAAACTAAAAAAAAAGTAATTGGAACAGTGTAATAGAAGAAAAGAGAAATGATGTCATTGAGCCTAAATCCATATATTTGTATTTCAAATATCCTTCAGCTAAACACTCATGTATTTGCTTCTTAGTGCCATTGATAGATGTGCCTTATGATAAATCCACTTATTTATAAGCTTACATTGATAATCCTGTATAATAAAAGCCTAATATGCAAATCGACCAAACTGTGAAACAACCGATGGAACGACTGGTTGCTATGATGCACACTGGCCACAAGGGGACAGACATTCAACACAGGAGTTGCCCCCAGCCTGCAGGCCCCAGGCCAGCCAAGGCAGGTGCCAGTGGGGACTCTCTCAATCACCTGCTGGTTGCCCCCACTGAGGGAGGAGACCAGTGGTTTTGGTGGAGTGATTGGGGGGCAGAGCTGGCAAGTGGGCAGCACCAGGCTGGCCATGGTGGGTGCCACCAGGGAACTCTCTGATTGCCCCACGAGGTCATCCCATAAATCATCCCTGATTACCAGCCAGGCCTAGAATTACACAAGATAAGGTATGCATGCAATTTCATGCATCAGGCCTCTAGTTTCATATATTCTGTGGGATTTTGTAGGGAGTTATAATAGTTACTGTTTATACAGTTGTATTATAATAATTTATAATATAATTAGAGGCCTGGTGCATGAATTTGTGCACAGGTGGGGTCTCTCCATCTGGCTGGCAATCGGAGCTGTTCAGGGCTGTCTTGCCCAGTACCATTCAGGGTTAATTGGGGCTAGTGGCCAGGGAGGAATCATAGGAGGGAGCATGGAAGGGCTCCAGGACATGTCTGTCCCTGTATTGCCCAGTCCCAATGTGCCAAACCCTAGTAGCAAGCTAACTTACCAGTTGTAGCATCTGCCCCCTGGTGGTCAGTGTACGTCATAGCAACTGGTCCACTAGTCAACTGTCAGCCCCCTGGTGGTCAGTGTACATCATAGCGAGCAGTTGTGCGGCCTTAGCATATCATTAGCCTATTATACTTTGGTTGAATGGATGACTGGATGACCAGACACTTAGTATATTAGGCTTTTATTATATAGGATAACTTTATTATATATTTATATGTACTATATTATATTTTATTTCATAATAATAGTCATTATTACAATAATAAATTATCTCTCATTTATCCTTACTAAGAATAATGAAAACATAGAAAGAATTCTAGTGGCCTTTGCCTGTGGTTAAAGAAACTTATACTTGGAAGTGAAGAAAGTTCCATAATGGTTGAACCCTACTGAGTTCCCAGTAGAAATGTTCTTGATGATTCTGTTCTAAAGTGCTCTGCAAATATCCCCCTGCACAAGGCTATGCAGCCCTACAAAAACAAGTTGCCAAAGAACAGTGTGTATACTCAACAGGTGGGGGCCACTGCCAGACTATAGGTATAAGAAAAAGAAGATAAAAATCTTTATCTGTTAATAATTAAATTGAAATTGTAAAGCATCATTGCATATTGTTCTATAGGATATTTTTGTTTTTGTTTTTGTTTTTGGAGAAGAATGGAGCTCTCCGCTTAATTTGGAACACAATAACCAAATATGTTAATTTCATAACAGGGAAATATCTACCAAATTTATCCCCTCCATGCCATATGGTTTTTGGATGATTTTTTAAGCAGAAAGCTACCATGAGGACAATGAAATTAAATGTAGTGTATGGGCAGGATAAACCACCTTAAAAGACAAATTGCAAAATAAAGAAAGCTTTTCCTATTCAAGTTGGCATACTAATTTTTTTTCCCCAATCTCAAAACTTCCCACTATCAGAGCTTTAAAAAACAACTCACGTTTTTATGGTTCACACACTTCATGAGGACCAGTTCTCGGTAAGCTCTCTTGGCATGTGTTTGGTTCTGAAAGGGTCTGCTGAGCTTCTTAATGGCCACATTTCTGTCAAGGACAGCATCATATGCAGCACTGCAGAGATCCAAGAACAGTCCAGGATTAAAAACAAAAGAGTCCTTAGCACTACTGCCTACAGAAATAAGGATATGGGATATATATATATATATATATATAATCCTATTCAGATACTCTCTCCTCACATCACCGGTCAACAAGGCTGTGAATAAAGATATAGAAGCATGGAACAGACTGTTGAATCTTGGAGTGAAGGTGAGCGTGGGTGGGAAGAGACCAGTCATGGATATAAACAATAGGGTGATGTAGGCCTAGAGTGGGTAGGAGGGAGGGAAAGAGGGCTATGGAGAATCAATGGCATAAAAAGGGGGACATATGTAATACTTTCAACAATAAAGATTTTTTAAAAATAAAAAGATGAGTGACCAATATAAAAAAAAATTCTACTTGGAAGAATATAAATAAAAAAGAAAGAAAGAAAAGGAATCATAGCAAGAATACAACATATAATTGCATCAGTGAGTGAGGACAAGAGTGAGTCATTTCATCTCTCTAGGCTTGCAATTCTCGGCTAGTCTGATGTGATATTTAGGTGTTCTCTAGGTTCATCATTCTTTGGTTATTTTATGTAGACATTCATGTTTTCCCCATTCAAAGGCACCAGTTGTTATGGTGTGATGTTGATTGCCATGAAAGCACAGGTTGGTTGAAACTCAAAGTTCCCTCATTAACTATAACAAACCTCAAAATAGAGAGTGCAATCAGGAAATTTCAGACACATCAATAATATTTATTATTTAAATACAAACATGGAAATGAAAGCCACTTACATTTGAAGCTTCCAAATTATTTGAGATCATCTACCATGCTTTGAAAAAGCAATCAATATATGGTCCTGTTTCTCCCATTCTCGGAATACATGGGTCTGGGACAAATGAGGTAGTTGGTCTCTTCCTGCTATCATACCTAATGGCCTACGCACAAATGTCTTTCCCATCCCTGTAAGTTGTGCTGTACTGTCTGAGTTGCCAGGAAGGGTTGACTAAGTTTCCAGGAATGACATAGCAACTAGTGCCTCCACACCAATTAATCTATTGAATTGGAAGTGCCATTTACCATTTAAGGTTAATGCACTAAACTGGAAGCCAAACAAAAAGGATAACTGTGTTGTAAGATAACGATACACTCACAGGATCAGAGTTCCTCTGATCCATGCCTCCATTGAGCACTTATTCCTCTCCAAAATATCTCCATCAAAAGTCTGACCAGTCTTTCCTTGAGCATCTCCAAAAACATGAGCTCTTTTAACATTAAGGCAGCTCCTTCTGCTGTTGAACAGCTCTGAGAGTTAGAAATGCCATTATTCTACTAAGCAGAATTGTCTTTTCATGGAATGTATTGATTACTGTCTGCCTTCCAGGGCAACTCAAAGTGAAACATTTCCTTTTCCTTATGATAGACCCACAAGGCTTGGAGTCTGTTAAAAGACTGAGCACAATGCCTGGCCTATAAGCACTCAATAACACTTAGCTTTTCTCCTAAATATTTTCTTCCTTAAGCTAAATATCACCAGTGTCCTACCTCCATTTGTCAGAATGTGATTTCTAAGCCCATCATCATCTGATCAGTTTCCTCGGAATATATTCCAGCCTGTGAATATCATCTGAAAATGTGAGCCCTGCACTAAATAAACACTGTTACTCCAGGCATGGAGTGTCAATGAAGGGTAAGGCTACCAACACTCTCAGACATTCAGTTGCTCATTCATTATGTTGACACAGTTAATACAGGGAACTCTATCCTGGCTTCTTTGAAAACCACACATTGCACACTGTTGTCTCACAGTGAGTGTATGTGAAATGAAAATGTTGTCTTAAAAAAAAAAAATACCTGTGCTGCTATTTAATTCAGTATGTTAGCACTGGTACTTCTGTTCTTATTTGTTCTTGTTAAGTTACCAATGGAAGCACATATAAAGGAATCCGTTGGGCCTATAGTCTATAGGTAGTGCACAAGGACAACAGTGAATTTCTAAATACAGAAATTATAATTTCAAAGGTTAAGTAATTTTACCAGCAGTAAACTGATCAGAATAAACACCTTAAAGAAAAAAGAAAAAAAAACACCTAACTTTTAATCCAAAACAACTTAGTTGAAATCATTAAAATATCTAAAGAAAGAATAGTAATCAGTCATAAAAGTGTATCAAAAGGAGTTAGAAAGGCAAATTCTGACACTGCCTGGCCAAAGAAGAGATTGCTTCCCAGGTGGATCAGGGGTCCTGCCAGCCAGCAGATATTTGCATTCCTGTTGTGACTGTCAGAGATTACAGCCTGTTAGCATTCTGATCAATGTCTCCTCGGGCTGATTCCATCCTCTGCAATCAATGTTTTGCTTATCAGGCTCTCTTTCAGATGTTGCAGGCAAGAATAGTGTCCAAATTTGGTCACTTGACTGTCACATTTCTCATCCATAATAATGAGAGCATAATATGCTAATTAGACCAGACATCCTTCTGGACATCCTTCCATATAAAGCCAGGGCTGCGAGGGAAAGCTGGTCCCTGTCGACAGTGGAAAGGAAGCCTGGGTCCCAGGTGCCTGCCTGTGGCCAGAGGAAAGGAAACCCTACTCTTGCACAAATTTTGTGCATTGGGCCTCTAGTAGTTTAATAAATTGGCATATGGTTTTATTATGTGAGTTTTAAGTGAAGATTGTCAATGTGAGTTTGAGTTCATGAGATACTGACCAGATCTTGCAAGATAATGGGCCAGCCCTAGACTTTTTGTGGGATAACTGAGAATGGCAATTCCCCGGCTTTCTGAGCAGTTATGACACTAGCCAGTTTCTCCTAGAAATGTTATAGCATTCTCTGTCCCTCTGTGACCTCTTCCTTAAAGCAATTTTGGGTATGAATCTCAGTACTGCTGCTTACCTGACACAAAGCTATGGGCAACCCACTTGCACTTTCTGGCATCAGTTTCCCCATATTTATAGTGGGGATAATAACAACTTCATGTATCTATAGTGCCTTGCCTAGAGTGAGCACTCAAGAAATACTGACTACGGCTAGTTTTAAAAGTTAATGTCCTTGCTGGAGTCATTGCATAATGCAGGGCAAGATCAACATAAATTTCTACAGTGTGTGTAATAACTGGATGCTTATCTACTAATCAGCATTTCTTAATCTGTCTGTTAATTACGAATCCATGTAACTATACCACTATCTTGACCACATTTCATAAGTTTGCCCCATGATATAAAAGACTGAGGCAAAACCCTTGTTAAAATCTAGATACATTATAGCCATATAGTTCTATTACTTATCACTTAATAAGCTATCCAATATGATTTGTTTTTTAAGAAACTCCCTATTCCCAGTGATTAATGGCTCACAGGGTATCTTTTTAACCAATATGAGAAATAATGTTAACAGGTATCTCTTATCATCTCTTTCCTCCCTCTGAAAGAATAAAAATACTGCCTATCTAGAGTTGTGTGGAATGCTGTGGTTTGGCTCATTGAACTTCCGTTTGATCACCTTGTAATCATGTCTGCCTTCATCAAGGAGACTTAAGCATTAAACATATAATTCTCAGATGCTTTTACAGATAGAGCTCTGGATTCCAACAAGATCCTGTAACACTGATGCAACTATGAAAGATTTGTAGGCACAAGTGAGGATGGCCATCTCCTAACACGGCCTGGTTGGCAAGCAAGGTCTCATGGAGATGTGAGATCTTCTTCTTCTAAAGCAGTGATTGACAGCACTCTCCAGAGTCTTGGTAGGAGGAGTTGAAGCACAGACTGCAGTGGACTCCAGGTCACTAGCACAATGAAGTAGTGACAGCAGAGTGATGAGTGCACAGGGCCAGCTCTGTAAATCCCAGACCTCTGTTACAATCAAATGTTCTGGAAGCTTCATGGTCTCGGAGGTAGAAGCTTTCCTGATGAGTCTGCTCTGGCATGTCTGGGAGTCATTTGGGAAACCTAGTGCTCACCTCTCTAGGCCTTCCAATGATTTTACCGTATTAAATCTCTGCCTGCTTAAAATGTTTCTGTCTCCTGCCATGAACCCAGGCTGACCCTACAGTTTTTCCCATTTTCTGTAATTCCTGAGTGATTACTGGTAGCAGTTTGGCAAATACATCTGCACATTGGCATCATTGGTTCTGTACAGTAAGAAATTAATGTCTGAAAAGTTTTTGTTACTCCTGAGTCATCTTTTTTTAAGCCTTAGTCCATAGACTCTTATTTTTTTTTTCTTTTAGTGGGTTCTCATTCTTTTATCTTCGTGCAGGTAATAAAAATTCATAGCAATTTTCCTGAAAATATTCCAGCAATTTTTTACCACAGTACTAAGTCAGCTTCCCTTCTACCAGGTTTCTGCATAAAAGTAAGATACAGCCTTCTGTTGGCTTTCTCCTATCATTTAATTCAGTTCTATGATGCTATAAAGCTGTTTATCTCCTTAAATACACACACACACACACACACACACACACACACACACACACACCTGCAATTAAATCTTATTTTCAATATACTTATCAGGTGTGTTTTTTTCTGGCAATTGCAGGCAACTCTTGTACAAATATCTTTCTTCCTACTTTGTAATAATACATTTGACCAATTTTTATTCCCCTTACCTTTCACATTTAAATATCTTCTTGATCATATTAACATTTAATTAAGAAAAAAACAAACAAAAAAAACACACAAACAAACAAAACAAAAGAAAACAAAACCCCTGGTCATCATGAGAACTTTATCTCTTAAAAAAAAGTCTCAGAAGAGAAAATGGTGGCTGAAGAGGCAGTAGTGTCATGCGATTCCTCCTAGGGCCAGGCCAGAAAAGTAACTAAATTGGAGAACATCCACCCTGAACTAACCAATTAAACACAGCTGAGGAGACAATTTTCAATAATGAAGGGCAGAGGATGCCAGAAGACACCACTTGTGAGCCATAACCCATGTGGAACTACCACCATGCCCCAGCAGTGAGTAGCCCAGTACCTCTCAGCAGGCTTCCAGACATCTGAGGATGCATGTACTTCC